CCTTCCTTCCTTCCTTCCTTCCTTCCTTCTTCCTTCCTTCCTTCCTTCCTTCCTTCCTTCCTTCCTTCCTTCCTTCCTTCCTTCCTTCCTTCCTTCCTTCCTTCCTTCCCTCCCTCCTTCCCTCCCTCCTTCCTTCCCTCCTTCCTTCCCTCCTTCCCTCCCTCCTTCCCTTCCTCCTTCCCCCTTTACCCTCCCTATAGCAGAAATGTTCTTCTGGTTGGGCGTGAAGGGGAGGAGAGGGGAGCCTGGCGCTCCACAGCTACATCACCTCTCCGCCTATAATTGTTTGTCACATGCCCTGTTGTCACAAAGTGGGGTTGTTTCCCAGACCCTGCTGGAAAAAAGGTGCAAAGTAATAATGAGTGTTTAACAAGGCTCATAAATCAGGGCTGATGAGAAGCGCTCAGGACGGTCACACGGCGGCGACAGGGCCTGGCAGCGGGCGGACAGAGAGAGGAGACCCCGCCACGGTCCTGCCGAGCCACCCCCGCACTGCCGGCGCCCCCAAAAAAGTAAACGTCCTCGAATGAAACACGGTCCCATGCTAAATCAGATGTAATACACTTAATGAAAACTCAGTCAACTGATCCAAATAGTCGGCAGTGGGTGCATAATTAGAATCTAGGAGAGATATATTAAATTAATGGATTCTGTCCTGCACAGATGTATCATTAAAATATATAGGATTGATACTTAACATGGTAGAGTTATTTTAAACTTACACATTAATAAAAATACAGCTATGGGAAAAAAGGAAAAAAAGAGAAAAGACAGTGAAACTACCTGCTGAGAGCAGTCAGAAAATTAGCAACATACGGATAATCTATTTTTTTTTCACACCTCCTTTTCCCCCTCACAGTCTTTCCACAGGAAAGAAAATTGAAACAGACTATTAACTGAAGAAATAATCTTAAATTTCTTTGTCTATTGCCGGTGAGAGCTGAAAATGAAAAGAGGATTTGCAAAAGAAATCGTTACCATTGTATGAGATGTTTCAGAGCAGTTACCGAATTAAATGAAAACTTTTCTCCCCAAGCCACAAACAAGGCGCTTTAGAGACTAAACCTGCCTTTCTTTCGGTAGATCTGATTATCAACGCCGCATAAACCCCGAGTTTTACCAACGGGGCCATATGCTCGTGTATCTGCCCGCGGACACGGCGCCCGAACGCGTGTATCACCGTGGAAATTACACGGGTGAACCGTAGACTAGTAAGTATCTGAACTACACTCTCAGATTGTGCTCTGCTTAGTATCCTATTCTCCCCTTAGTTAGGTGTCTTCTTTCAACATCTCTGTCATCTCCATTTGAAGATATTTTCTGCGGTTTATCACTGCCATCTCCAGCCCTGCGCATTTGCAGCAGGTTATCACAATTGCCAGTCCCCCCTGGCTGATGGGTTGCGCTGATTACCATCACTGCCCTCAGATATTTGGTGCGGATTCCCAGCACTGCAATATCCACTCTTAGGACATCTGGAGCAGATCAAAATCACTGACTTCATTTTTCAGTAGAGTCAGTGTAAAAGCTTCACACAGCCTCTTCGCAAACGTACCCTGTAGTCAATTCCCGCAGAACCAGCCTTCAGTTAAAATTCGGCCAAGCAGCGACCCCTATGTCTGGATTTGCATTTCTTATCGGACCCCTATCTAAACTGATTTGTTAATAATAAAGAGAAAATCTCTTGGCACTGGATGCATCGCCTTAAGAAACTGGAAGGATCACACTGTCTTAGCAAACTCCTTCTCAAGAAAGGCTCCTTAAGAAGTTTATCTGCCCAATGATCTTTGAATTAGATGAGCGTGGCCATTTAGGTCGATTTACTTTAAACAGTATACAATTTATTTTAAGCGATTACCTTAAGTATAATCACATTATGCCCAGTGCTGTTAGGTATTTCTCTCCCGCCTGATTTCTGATGTGCATCCTCTCTCCGACGGGAAGGTGACTGCTTTTCACTCTCGGCCCAAATCCTTTTTTTTGCTACGTGACTGTTTATCGTCTTTTAAAACGCGGTTCGGCTAATGAGTTGGCACCGCACTCCTTTTTGTTAGGTCTTGCAGAAAGTTAAGGAGGCGTTCAAGCAACTGCAACACAGTTCTCAGGGGAAAAAATGGGCAAAAAAAGTAAAAGGAAGAGGGTTGTTTTCGAATTATGATTAAAACTTTTTTTTAAAATCCGTATTTTATTCCACCTATTAACAATTTGATGCTAACTTATGAGTAGGAGGGGTTGATCACACCGACCTTTTGGACTGTTTAGGTGCAGGGTTTAGGGAAAGATTTTCCTAGCGCTTCGGGCAGCTGCTGCTGATGTTTGTAATTTTCCGTACAGTTTCGTTCTTTTCGCACTTTTGTTATTAAGCTCCTGCTATAGGTCTTGTATGGGAGGAAATAAACCCAGAATCTCCCAGACCTTCACTAAACTGATTTTCAAGCTAAGTAGCTTAGTGTAGCAGCTCTGGTCCCAGCTTACTCGCACAAGGGGGAAAAAATTAAAAAGGGCTTTGAAAGGTTGCCTGCTAAAGTGACTTAATAAACCGTCAGAAGGGAAAAAAAAAAGGGCAATGTCCTGTGCAGGAGCAGGAATCGCGTGAGGATTGGCATTTTCTGATCAGAATTGTGCATAATTAATGGCGTTCGCAGGACCCTGCTCATCCTTGCTCAAGGAACTTTGCAGATGACGAACAAAGCTTTCATACCAGTCTTCTAACTTTTTCCCCTCCTCGGCGATTTTTATTCATTCCTATTTTCTTTTCCTTATAATTTACGTTTGTTGTTGTTTTGTTGGGTTTTTTTTTCTCGTCTCCCTTCTTTTTTTTTTTCTCTCCGAAATCGCAGTTACAGGTAACCTGCACTTTGTATTTATTTGCTCTATTTTTACTCAAGGTGAAGAGTAGCAAACTTCGCACCAAAAAGATGCAGGGCTGATAGAAAAGCAAAGGAGACTTTTTTCCTTTTTCTTTCCCCTTTTTTTTTCTTCCCTTAACCGATCCGAGAAGGATGAGAGCGAGTGGGGGAGGGGATGACTCACATTTCTTAAGCCTCCAAGTGGAAACCTTTTCTGGATACACATTCCACACAGATCTAAAGAGCTAAGAAGATTTCGGCAGCGTCGGTGCCTTATCCCACCTTTATTTACCTGAAGCCCTTGTAATGTGACACTTCCATTCGCAAAATAAGGCTGCAAATTTCAAGTCCCACTCAGCTCTGTTACGGCGGTGCATTTTTGTCTGAGGGTCGCTCTCCTGCTTTGAGGGTGAGATTTTGGAGCGGTGCGGGGGAGGTACTGCTCTCCCTGTCAGACATAGGAAGGGAAAAGTTCCCTATTTCCAACTGATGGGGAAGGAAGTTTAATCAACACCGTGGGACGGAGCGGTTCCCTGGAGCACGGGGAGGAAAGGGCTGGCCGGGGTTGGAGACACCCCGTGGGGGCGTTGGCAGGAGGGGAGGCATTTCCCTCCGCTCCCGCGCCGCCACTTCCCGGCGGGATCCGGGCTGCCGGCCTCAGCCCGCCGCTGCAAGCTGGGAGAGGGGGCGCGAAGCCCCGCGGAGCGGCCCGAGCCTTAGGGCTGGCTCTCTCCGGGCTCGGGAAAAGGAGAGAGACACCCGTCGTCCCCCCACTCCTCCTTCTTCTTCCCTTCCCCCTCTCCCCTGCCAAACACTCGCATCCCGAAAAGCCGCGGGCCTTTGCGACTGCGGACGCTCCGCGCCGCGCTGTCCCTTAAGGAAGAGCTCGGCTGCCCCTTCAGCACAAAGACGGAGCTCCTGGGCTGCGGGGACCGCGGCGAGGAGGGCCGGGCCGGGGCCGGCCGCTCCGCGCCCCTCCGCGGGGCCTCTCCGAAGGGACGGAGAGGCCGGCCCGGCCCCGCGCACTCTGCCCGCAGCCGGCGGAGCGGGAGCGCCGAACGCGGGGCAGAGCGGCCCCCGGCAGTCCCGCCGGGGCTGGGAAGGTCGGGGCAAGGAACGCCCAGCCCTCGGCCCGCCGCCCCCGCGCTCCGCGTTTTCCACGGCGGGGGAGCTGGGAGGGCCCCGGCAGCGGCAGGAAAGGGAAAGTTTGCGGTGCCGCCCGGGCAATGCGATGCTCCCTCGGTCCCAGCGCGGTTCGGGCGAGCCCAGCCACGTCGAGGAACTGGACAACACCGCAGGCAGGGCACAACGGTGACAGCCCGCCTCCCTTAAGGCGGCCCGGTCCCTCGCAGAGGAGTCCTTTGTCTCCCGCTGCACCTTCCACCCTTCTCCAAGGAGAGAAGGAGCAGGAGAGAGAGAAAAAAATCCCTTCCTCTAATCATTGTTGTTAATGATCATAATGGCAAGAGCTCGTTTTGGTCCATTCGTGTGTGTGTCCCCTGTGTCCCCCCGCCTCGTCCCTCTCCCTCTATTTCCCCCCCGATGTGTTTCTTTCGGTCCCCAGTAAAACGGGAGGATGGAAGTTTTGACAACCAACAAGACACTCGGTTTCCCCCTAACCCCCACCCCCGCTCGGGGGCGAGGGCTGGGGGTCCTCTGTGCCCCTCGGCATACATGTCGAGGTTGTTGATTTGCGGGATTATTTATTTCCAGTAGTCCGAGAACTGTCGCAATGCCTATGATAATTGTCCCTGACTGTCAATCCGTCGGCAGGGCATGAGGAGGAGAAAGGGCGGCGGGGAAGATCGCATCGCTGCGGGTCTTTTTTTTTTTTTTGCCCCTCCATTTTTCTTTTTCTTTTTCTTTCTTTTTTTTTTTTTTTTTTTTTTTTCCTTTCCTTTCACTAAAGATTCTTCTGGGAAGTACTGCTAGAAGCCTTTTGACTTTCAGCAAAGTTGCGTATGTGTGTTTGTGTATGAGTGGCGTTTGTGGGTTGCTGTAGAGAGATCGCATTTATTTATTTATTTATCTGCCTTTTTTTTTTTTTTTGGTAGTGGTAAATTGTTACAAGTTGCCTGGCTGCAAAGCCCCCTTTTCCTCTCACGGCCACTCTCGTTTGTTCCTGAGTCCGACGACGACAAGGGGGACTCAATGTTAAAGGTGGAAAAAAAACCCAGCAACACAGTTGTTTTTGTTAAAAGGGGACACACTAAGGCTGCGAAACAGCAAAACCCCAATGTTGGACAGCTGTAAAATCGTGTAGACAGGTTGTCATACAGCAGTGGGGGCTTTTCTGAAAGGAGCCCATTGCTAAACATTAAATACACTGGGAGCGGAGCAGAGCAGCTGCGCGGACACACGCGCGCCCGCACTCACACACACTCACACACGCACACCGAGCAGCTCCGAGCGCGGCGGCGGCGGCGGCGGCCCGGGCTGGGCTCGCACCACGTGCTGCGCCGAGGGGGGCGGCGGGGCGGGCGGGGGCGCGGGGCGGCGCTTCCAGCTCAAGTGGGTGCCAATCAAAACATCAACTTCAAATTGTATCTGAAAGATCAGCCTAGGACCTAAGGGCAGACACATCAGTTGGAGCTCAATTGTTGATCAGATCACATCTAAGGGATTTAGGAGCACAGAAGAGCCGAGATTTGAGGAAAGACACCCCACTGAATCCTGGCACACTCCTCCTCCTCCTCCTCCATACCTAGGGTGCAATATATATCTGACAGAAAGAAATCAGAACGAAAAAAGAAAATTATCGGCTCGATTTCTTTTCTCTCGCCCTGCCTGACTCCAGTAAAGAGCGGGGGGGAGGAAAAAAGAAAGAGAGAGAGAGAGATCCAGAGAAGCCCGGGTTTGTTCCGCTCCCCTCCCCGGCTCTTCAGCAGGCTCCCTCCTCCCCCTTTCTTTTTTTTTTTTTTTTTTTTTTTTTTTTGGTATAATTCCTTCCCCCCCCCCTTCCCCCCTCCTCTTTTTTTTTTATATCTCCGCCGCTTCTGCTGCTGCCGCCAGTGCTGCTGCCGCCGCCTCTGTGCCCGCGCCCCGGAGATGTCCTTCCCCCAGCTGGGCTACCCGCAGTATCTCAGCGCCAGCCAGGCGGTGTACGGGAGCGACCGGCCCGGGGTGCTGGCCGCCGCCGCCGCAGCCGCCGCCGCCGCCGCTGCCGCCTCGGGCCGGCCCGCGGGCGCCGAGCTGGGCAGCGGCTCGGCCGCTGTCACCTCGGTGCTGGGCATGTACGCCAGCCCCTACAGCGCCCCCAACTACAGCGCCTTCCTGCCCTACACCGCCGACCTCGGCCTCTTCTCCCAAATGGTGAGTGAGCACCGCGCTGTCCCTCGCGCCTGCCCGGGCCCGCCGAGCGCGGCCGGGGGAGCCGGGGGAGCCGGGGGCGGGCGAGGCTGCGGAGCCCAGCGCGGGGGCGGCTGCGGTGGCGGCTCACGCCCGGCGCGGGGTCCGCCGTGCAGAGGAAAGCGCGGCTCTCGTCGGGTCTGCGGAGAGAGAGGGACTGGGGGTTGCGGGCTCCGTCTGCACGCGAAGCCCCCCATCCTCCTCGTCTTTCCAGCCGGGCAAAACTCCTCCGAGTTTTTCTTGGCGGTGGAACCGCTAAGCTGGGCTCCTGCCTCCGTATTGTCGGCTTTCCCTAGCAACTCGGCTATTTTTTGTTTTCTTTTCTTTCTTTGTTGTTATTGGTGTTGTTGTTGACGGGTGTTATTGTCGGTCCTGCTGTTTCACTGGGCTGTTCAGCGCGCTCCTCTTTCCGCTTGGTACTTTTCTTTGCCGCTGAGCAATAAACAGGTTCCGTCCGAAAGGCCAAAGTGTCGGTACCTGGGGCTCCCGTTTATTTCAAGGCATTTTCCTCAAGCCTTGAAAATGTCCCGTTCCATTCCTTGAACTTTTCATACTCTGATTATGGCGGGTATCATAGATGGGATTTGCATGAAGCGAAAGAGGGCATCTACATCCCATTATAGGCATCAAGGCAGGAACGCATGTCGGCGTTAATTCTAAGAGAAATTGTCGCCACCTGGACTGTCTTCGGGATTAAATTGACATTTTCTTTAAAACGTAATAGTTAGAAAGTGAAATATTTTTTTTTTAAACTAACTGGTTTTATATCTGGTGTCACTGAAACATTTTCGTTGCTGGTATCACCAAAATTGTCAGCGGCGCTACGCATAGGTTCCACTTAATTTTCTAAATGTCCCTCTTTTCTCTCCCCCGACACAGAAAAAGTGTGAAAATTTATAACTGAATGCACGCAATGCATAACTTGTTAGGGTTCTTAATAAATATATGTAGGCAAATAGGAAAATACGCGGCTGAACAAGGGACAGCATCTGAAAACAGATAATTTTTCTACTGCAAACATTTCCTGTAAAGTCACTCTAAACATCATGCATTTCCTACTCCTTTTTTAACCTTGATTTTGGAAATGCAGTAAAAGTTGAGACAGAAGAAATGAGTGATTCACAAGTGGCTTCTTCAAAGGAATTCCCAACAGAGTTTACACAAAAAATATCATTACAGCAACAATAACAGAAGACAGCAGAATAAAGGGAGTGCAGAAAGCCTACTCTGTAACACATTACAAAAATTACATCGGGCTACTCTTTGTGTATAACCGGTGTCTCTGAAATTAAAATACATGATCCTTCTTAACTGTTTGACAAAGTTTAATTAGTTTCTTCACAAACATTATTGAAGAGGTCGATTTCTAAGGCTGACATAAATTATGACATAGTAGTATGAAGAATGTATTCCTGGGCTAGGCAAAAAACAAAAACAAAAACAAAACAAAAAAAGAGGCAAGATGGTAATAGAAGAAAGAAAGAAAGAAAACTGCTTGAAATGTTAGCTATTTTGGAACAGTTCCCGTTCCTACTCGCAAAGTATCCTGGTATTTTATTACAGTGATTAACCATGACGGTGTTATTTCAAAATAAATTCTAAATTTCTGAACATTTGCAAATTAAGAATTAAAATATTAGGTTAATATCTGGACAATTTGCGGTAATAATGAGGCCTAATGAGGTTGCTAGAAAGATAAAATGTTATTTACCAAAACACCTGATGGGATAATTTGACTTGCTGTGTTTTACTACTGATGATACAAAGAATATTGATTGCAAATAAATCACCGTCTCTAAACGCTTGTAAACAACTTGTGTTTGCTCTGGCCGGATCAAAGTAAAACTTATGAGATAAAGTGTCTACGTATCCATATTCTACAATGCATGGATCAGTTTTCATTCCCGAGTTTAAAGCCTGTTCTAAGAGTTAGAAGTTAATGTTTTACTCCAGAATCTTGGTGTATGATTTGGGGAGCGGGGATGGAGCTGTTGGCATGTGTGTGCAAAGTCTTTCACATTATAAGCCTCTTCGTACTGAAGTTGTGCATTCATTCCCCCCAGCCTCATCTCATTAGGAGCAAAAATAAAGAATGGTCTGCATGCATTTCTAACATCCTCCTGGATACTTCGCAGATAAATGCGGCGCTGTGCGCGGGCATTAGTTGGTAACTGCGGTGTAGTATCTGTTCTATGTGCCTGATAATTTCAAGGGCACAGTAAATTTTCTTGCTGAAGTGAAGGCAAAGTTGCTGTGTTTCCATCGTTTGGTCTGGTTTGGTTTGGTTTGCGGAGAAAATACTCATAATGTCTGTCAGAGCCCCGCTTAGCACCTCTTTTTCCTTTCCCTGCAAGAAGGGGGAATAATTTGGGAACACCTCTCTGTGTGACCTAAATGTGAAGAGCCTGGAACGGGCAGGGCCGAATTCGGCTGTGAAGACCCTTTGCGCCGCTGAAAGGTGTATTCCGGCTCCCGGAGTAGCCTATTCAGGTCTGTTAGAGACGCTAACGAGATAATTGATGTGCTTTTTCCTCTCCGCTTGTCTGAATGTGTTGCAGGGCTCCCAGTACGAGCTGAAAGATAATCCGGGTGTCCACCCTGCTACCTTTGCTGCCCACACTGCCCCCGCCTATTATCCCTACGGACAATTCCAATACGGGGACCCGGGGCGGCCCAAAAATGCCACCCGGGAGAGCACCAGCACCCTCAAGGCCTGGCTTAACGAGCACCGCAAGAACCCCTACCCCACCAAGGGCGAGAAGATCATGCTGGCCATCATCACCAAGATGACCCTCACCCAAGTCTCCACCTGGTTCGCCAACGCCCGCCGGCGGCTCAAGAAGGAGAACAAGGTGACCTGGGGCTCCAGGAGTAAGGACCAAGAAGATGCAAATCTCTTCGGGAGTGACAATGAGGGGGACCCCGAGAAGAATGAAGATGATGAGGAAATTGACCTGGAGAGCATAGATATAGATAAAATTGATGAGAATGATGGGGAGCAGAGCAATGAGGAAGAGGAGGAGAAGCCTGAGCTCCTGAGACAAAGCAGTGAAGAGGAGCACTTGGAAAAGGAGAAGGATTTGGCACTGTCAGGGTCTGAAGGGCTGAAACCCAAAGACACGCTGGCCATGGTGAAGGAGTCCTCTGACAATAGCACGAGAATCATCAGTCCTGGGGGACCGAACAATTTACAGATGCCATCTCACAGCAAACCCAAGATTTGGTCTTTGGCAGAGACAGCAACGAGTCCTGATGGTGCCCTGAAATCTTCTCCTCCTCCGCCCCCTCCTCCCCAGGTTAACCACACTTCTCCTCAGATTCAGCACCCCGCTTTTCTCCCTAGCCATGGACTCTACACATGCCAGATTGGCAAATTTCACAACTGGACAAATGGGGCTTTCCTCACTCAGAGTTCCCTTCTAAATGTGAGGTCCTTTTTGGGAGTAAATCACCACCATGCTGCTCATCACAATCACCACCTCCAGGCCCAGCAACAATCTTCTGTTTTAACAGCAACCCTGGGAGCGCTAAGCAGCGACAAACCTTCAGAGAGGACCAGTCCCAAACACATAGGTAATTAATGTATCAGGCTTTCACCTCTCCCTCCACCCCCAAGACGCGCACGTGAACTTCTCCTTGAGGAATGGTGTCACACTGGTGTAACTGATTGCTTTTAATGGAGCTACAGTTTACTCTAGCCTTGATTTCCGGCCCCCCACCCAGCGTGTTGGTCACATACATTAAGCACATTTCACGTGGCCTATTACATTCTCACCCTATACGCCCATCAAGTAAGATGAAAATTCAGGAAGAGCGCAGTGAAATGTATAAGTTTGAGGTTTCCTTCCCTCTTTCATGACCCTCATCTCCCAATAACTTCAATAACAGTAAGAAGTGTGTCAAGCAAAGCTTGCAGACTACTTAAGTACTGAAAGTAGGGTATAGCACTGTACACACATACACATGTATCTGTTCACGTCTGAACAGGAGGGTGAGAGGGGAGTGTGTTCTCTGCAGTGTCCAGGTTCTTACTGCTGTTATTCTAAAATGGTTCTCCTGTTTTTGTTTGGCTTTTTTTTTCTTTTTTGTTTTGTTTTGTTTCTTTTTTTTTTTTTTTTGTCTCCTTCTAGAAAGAGAAAATGTACCAAGAACTGACTCCCCACCCCAGCCGCTAAAATCGCCCTTCCAGCCTGTCCGTGACAAGTGAGTTTGTTTGTTTGTTTTCACTGTAGGAATGTTACTTATGTGAAACAGAGTGTTTGAATAATAAAGACTAATTATAGCACCTAATCATCACCATTATAATACATACCGACAATGGGAACAGCACAGGAGTTGCTCCAATCTTTTCAAACTTAGACTAAATTGCAATTGTACATAGCCAGACTGTAACTTTTGTAAAACCTAACAGATCTCAAAGATCTTGTGTTAATTACACTAGAGACAATGATTTTTGTGCGAGTATCTATTACTCAGATGCTATAGCAGTAGATGCACAACTGAAAAAAAGAGATACTTTTTTTCTGAAAGATTGTTACTTTTTTTTTTTCCTTCTCCCTTCCCCCCCCTGCAGCTCTTTGGCTCAGCAAGAGGGAACACCGAGAATTTTAACAGCTCTCCCTTCTGCTTGATTAAATGATTTGGTGAAAAAATATTACAGAGACTGGTATTAAGGACAGAGAGAGTGAAAAAAAAGGAAACGGTATAAACGACTCCCATCAATCTCTTTTTGCAATAAGGTGGTGCAAATCCATAAAAGCATTACACAAATCTGTAGATGGATCCCCTTCCTCATTGTACCATTTCAGATCGTGTTATTCTAACCATTCTTGGATTATTTGTTTGGTAAATGTTTCCCATGTGTTTGTGGTTTTCTTTTTTCTGTATATAGAGTGATTTCAGATTGTAAATAACACGTCAGCAAAACTTGTCTAAATCATATATTTTTGTCTAATAAACTAAATGAAATTATGAGCTCTCTTCAGGTATGTATTCTGTTGCTACAGATCTTATACATATATTACAAATCTATTCAAACATTTATAGTTAGTTTTTTTAAAAAGTCAAATCTCCTCCTTTGGGTAACTGAAACTTCAAGTAGCAAATCCAAGCTATTTTGCCAAAATCAAGCTGCGAGCTTCCTTTTTTATACACGCAAATTTACAAAGTTGAGTGAAGATGTCCTTAGTAATATTAAAGTTATTTTTTCATTTGTGATGATTCAGATGTGTTCTATAGTATCCATTTTCCAGACATGAATGGACCTGACTTCCACTTGCGCTACAAAATACTTTCTTAAAACTGAAAGGAAAAGTTTTCTCACAGTTCCTTAGTGAAAAACTTTGCTGTCCAAACTGGCTGCTAAGTTGGATCAAGAGCTTTATTTCTTTGGTATATATTCTCACCCAAGATAAAAAAAAAAAAATCATAGTTTAGGAAAAAGAATTATTTGTAGTGATATGCACTTTGAATAAACACAGAGGATATATAACGGTGAAAGATATTTTCCTGTGAGATTAAATACAATCTTAGTAGAAAAAAAGAAGAAGAAGAGAAAAAAGGCAGCTCTTGCACATCTTAGAAATCTTAGAAGAAAGTTTTGCAATTCCGATCTGCTGGTTGAAAATAGACTGAGAGACAGGAGCTATCGTTTTATAAAGGCATTAATCTTAAAAAGACAGTCCGTTGAAATGTGTAATATTTTGAGTGTTTATTTCTCTTTTTTTCCCTCCTAAATGAGAACACTAAATGAGCATTGAGGTGCTAATAAGATACCAGATGGTTGTTGATGGTGGAAAATGGAAAGAAGCAGCTGGGAAAGTCATTAAGAAATAATGCGGTGACGCCCTATCCAAACTAAACCAACCTCAAACCAGGACTTGTCGGAAACAAGATGAGATTTTCAAATAAAATATTAATAAAATTCTCGTCAGAGATCAGAATATTGATCTTGATTTAGCTGCAAGATCACATCAATCACAGAGCAGTCTCCGTAAACTATGGCTTAGAGATCTGTTGGCAAAGCGGTGGAGGCGATGGGGGGCTCCTACATTTTGCGTTTTTCTGATGGAGCAGAGAAACAGGTCAGGCAAACCAGTTTTTGAGTGGAACAGCTGAAGGAGAGCCTCTGGAAAGAGACTCATTTTGACATCCGGCAGTTCCTAGCATACCATAAATTAGTTTGTATTTTGGCTCTTAGTTGTTTCGGTGTATTTTTTTTTCCTTTTCTCAAATGACAGACAGTCTCGCGTTGGAAATTGTTCCAACAAAAGAGAACGTTGCACTTTTTACCAAACTAGAGTAATTTAGCCTTCGGGGAGAGGGTAGACGTATTTAAAAATGAAAGAAAGAAAAAAGTCTTCAAGCCTTTAGAGCTTCAGGGTGCGTCAGGTCAGTGCTGGTGTAAACCCGATGCAATTGCTGTCTCTTTCATATCCATCCAGATGAAATCGCCCCAGTCCCGCACCGGCTGCTCCGGTTCCCAAATTAATCTCGGGAAACGCGGCCATCCTCGAGCAGCCCGGCCGTCCGGGGCGCCGCCGCTGCTGCTATCAGGGACCGGCTCCGCTCCTCCAAGGCGGAGACGGCACCTTCCAGGGACGCTCAGCGAGGCGGAGCGAGCGCGGCGCTGCCGAACTGTCCTGGGAGAGCGGAGCGGGGATTCCTGCGCGGCACCAGAGCCCCGGCAGGGACGGGAGCGGCGCGGAGCGGAGCAGCGAGGGCGCCTCTCGCCCGTCCGCCTCACGGCGGGTGCCCGCTCCCGAGCGCCGGGGGCCGAGCGGTCCCGAGCGGGCCCGAGCGGTGCCGAGCAGTTCCGAGCGGAGCCGCGGGCCGCGCTTTGGGCAGGCTCGCAGCGCCCTCTGTGGGCGGCGGGCGGCGCCGTCCCCGCGCCCGGCCCGCGGCTCGGCTGGGCTGGGGCGGAGAGCCGGGGGCTGCCCGCCCTTAACTCGGCCGGAAAGGCAGCTGCCCCCTCCGGAGTGCGCTTACACTTCTGATTATCCTCCCGGGAGCGATAATTCCCAGCAGTTATCTGGTTGGCAGTTTTCCTCCTTTGGAAGCCTCAGCATCTCTAGAGCTGACTCTGTTGCAGAAACATATTTTTTTCCCCCCCTCATCTGCTCATTTGAATTTCCACCTCCTCCCCCCCCACCAGTAACGCTAACAGTTTTGACGCTTCCCTCCCCAACCAGCTGAGGGTGTTATCGGGAGCGGGGGACGATGACGGAAGCCCCGCGGGGTCAGCACCGTTCCGTCTTTCCCCACGGCTCCCGGAGCGTTTGCCGGGGATGGGAGGGATGAAGCGCCGGGTTCCTGTCTCCAGGGGGGCGGCCTGGGAGCCGCATGCCGCTGCTGGAGGAGCGCGCCGAGGGCTGCGGGCTGCCGGCTCGGACGGAGCGGGCTTGCGCCAAAGTTTTTGGACAGGAGCGCAAAAACCTCCCTTTAAAAAAGGGAAAATCGAGAACTCCTGAGGCCAGCTGAGAAACGCCGTGCTGTTTAAGTCAGGAAAGCTCCGGCGTGGCTGCGCGTCTCAATGCCCAGCACCCCCCGAGGGCCTCTGCCTCAGCCTGTTCGGCACCTGGAGGAGCAGGGTGATCGCCTTTCCCTGCCCGAAAAGCCACAGTGAGGTGGCCATTTCTCCTGCAGGAAGTTTCAGACAGAGAGGAGAGGTGTACGGGTGTCATTGCCTCGGCACGGAGCCCTCGGAGGCTGCCCGGGAGCGGAGCGGGGCCCGGGCCCGGCCGGACGCCCCCACACCGCTCCCCGCCGCTGGTGTTGGGAAGGAGCGGGAGCTTCCCAATCCCGAGGTTTCGCTTGTCACGTGAACCGTGCTAGGAATGATCGTTTACGTCACCTTGGCAGGAAAATAATTTGTTGGTTTTTTCCTGTCATATTTTCATTGATGTATACCAGAAAATACCACCCCAGCAGATGTATACCAGAAAATACCAGAGTGCAGGGAGAATAATAAAGAAGCTTAAGCTAAACGATTTGCCGTAATTAGGAATGCTTCGAGCTGATAAGAGTAAATTGGAAAGTATTAGCCTCCTACCTTTTTTTTTTTTTTTTTTTTTTAAATGATGATGCTATCCTAACCTGATAAATAAAGTCAATAAGAAAATTTACATTGAATCGAATGGGGACTACAAGGAGTAATATACTTCTTTTAGCACGACGACCGAGAGCCAAGATACGTTTTCGTGCTACTTAAAAGGCTGCCAGAAAACACCTTTTTTATACGTTTGCATAGTCCTCTATTCTCCCCCAGTAAAAAAGTCTTGTTTTTGTTATTATTTACTTATCAGTTACAGAAGAATGGCAGAAATCTGTGAAAAAAGAATACTGAAAAGTTGATATAATCTCGAGTTCAGCAAATTCAGAAATTCGCAGTTGCCAGAACAGATTAAAAGCAAACGGCAGCTTTACGGGGATTTGGCTTTGTCACAGAGACGTAGTTATGAAACACGCTGATTGGTATGCATGCCTCATTTTTTATTCTTTTTTTGTTATTGTTGTTGTTCTTTATTTTATTCTGAAAAAAAGGTCTATTTTTAACAAGGTAAAAAAAAAAAAAAACCCAGCGAAAGGGAAGAAGAAAATTAGTAGAGTGTGTGTACTCAAACTGGCTCGTTCCTATGATTGTTATCGTTCCCGGCTCCTGTCATCCCTTCTTGCTGCTTTGGTTGAGTTTTTGATGCACTCTCTGGAACCGGAGCGGCCCCGGAGCCGCCGCCGGCAGCAGCGACCGGCGGAGCTGGGGCGGGGGCGCGGTGCGGGCTGAGGCTGCCCCCGCCCCCGGCAGCCCCGCACCAGCCCTGCTCATCGCGGGGCTCCTTCGATTCCGGCTAACTTTCATGGTATGCCCATGTTTTCCCCAGCTCGTTCTCTTTTCTTTTTTTTCTTTTTTCTAACTTTTTTTTTTTTTCCATGGGCGCCGATCAATTATTCACAAGCACATTTATCTCCCCTGCAATATGGAGAATTCATATTCATATCTCTGTTTTAGTGGCCTGACACAGATTAATGTAATATACGCCGCGGCTCGGAGCGCCAGCCCCGCTCTATGAATCATGCACTATAAAGTTTCAATCGTCCTTGTGGATGAGACTATTACAAAGAGCGCGGAGCGGCGGGGGCGGGGAGGCGGGGGCCGGCAGCAGCGGTGGCTCCACGCCTCGGCCGGCCATCGGCCCCCTGTTAAACAGGCTCGTATCGAAAGCCCCCGGCGGCTGGCGGGGGACAATGTGGGCCCGGCATTCGTTCTGCCCGGCGGGACTCGCTGACGCGACTTCCCCGCCCGGCCGGCCCCGGGAAGGGGCTGCGGGCCCTGCCTCGGCCCCTTGCCCATCAGCCCGTCAGGCAGGGCCGCCTGGCCCAGAGGAAAGGCGGAGTGCCCGTGCCAGCCCCAAGGCATGGGCACCCCGGGGAGGGAATGCGGCTCAGGCTGCCCCGGGGTGCGCCCTGAGGCGGAGCGACTGCGCTGTGTCTGGGGAGGGGGGGCGGTAAAGCGAGTCTCCATCACCTGGAGATGCTATGGCGGTATGTTTATTTTTTTTTTGCTTGTTTGTTTGGTTTGTTTTTATATTTTTTAAATTCCTCAATGTCCTTGAAAGGCGAGATGTGAAGAATAGCCGGGGGCTGACAGAGGCACACAGGCAGCACAGGGAAAGGGCCAGTGCACTGGCACTACAACTGTAAGTGCCCTGTGGAAGAGAGCATTGAACATGGGCTTCAGCATATGCCCTCCATCCCCAGAATCGCTGCCTCAGTCCCGGGGTGAGGCTCCCCTGCCATCTTGGTGACCTCTGTGCATCCAGGTGGATGGAGGGGAGCCACCCGCTGGTCCCAAAACCCAGCTGCCAGCTGCAGATCAGAAACCATGGCTGAAAAAGCTGCGGCAGGTCCCCTCTGGCCTAT